CCTCAATTTTGCCATTCCACATTGTATGCCTGTATCAAAACAACATATACAGCCAGGTGTGGTGGCTCACACCTGTACTCCCAGAGACTCAGGAGCCTGAAGCATGAATATTGCAAGTTTAAAGCTGTCCTCAGCAACTTATCAAGATCCTGTCTCAAAAATAAAATAAAAAAGAGCTAGGGATATGGCTCAGTGATTAAGTGACACTGGGTTAAATCACCAATACCCAAAACAAACACAAAAACAAAAACCATCATGTACAAATATATGCACCTTTTATTAATTAATTTTTTAATTTGCAGAGGATAAATCAAGCTGTTTTTCTGGGGGTTTTTTGGCACTGGGGACTGAACCCAGGAACACTTTACCATTGACCTATATCCCCAGTCCTTTTAATTTTGAGACAGGGTCTTATTAAATTGCTGGGGCTGGTCCTGAACTTGTGATCCTCCTGCCTCAGCTTCCCAAGTTGCTGGGATTTACAGGCATGTGCCACCTAGTTTGAATCATAGCTTAAGTATTCTTTGTTTTTAAAAAATACCTTTTTAAAATTTATTTTTACATGATGCTGAGGATGGAACCCAGTGCCTCACACAGGTTAGGCAAGTGCTGTACCACAGAGCCACAACCCCAGCCCCTTGTTAGAACTTCTTAATCCCAGTTTATTCTTCAAGTTGATTTTTTTTAAAGCAAGAGTCAGCAAAGTACAGTGGCCCATGTCCAGTGATTCAGGAGGCTGAGACAGGAGGGTCACAAGTTTGAGACCAATGTGAGCAACTTAGCAAGACCTTCTCTCAATATAACAAAAATAAAAAGGACTGGGGATGTACTCAGTGGTAAAGCACCCCTGGATTCAATCCCCAGTACCAGAAAAAATATGTAAATAAAAATAACAAAATAAAACAAGTCAGATCATAGCACATCTCTGCCAAAACTCTCCATTCTCAGTAAGAGCCAAATCTCTACAGTAGCTATAAGGTCCTACATAATTGGACTACTGTTACCTGCTGTCCCTTCTGCTCACTCTGCTCCAGTTTTGCTAACTTTTTTGCTGTTTCTTGATCATACCAGGCATATTTCTGCATTCACACCTTTGAAACATTCTGATCCCTTTGCCTGGCATGCTCTTCCCTATACATATACTCATGGCTTAATCCCTTACCTCCTTCAGAGCTCTGCTCAAATGCCACCTACTCAGTGAGGACTTTTCTGATCAACCTGTCTAAGCTGCAATCCAACACACATACTCTTTGCTCCCCTGTTCTATTTTATAGATCTCTTTAGCACTTTTCACTATATGTATTATTTAAATTCTTTTTGTCCTTAACCATTATAAATGTAAGCTCCTTGAAGGCAGGGATATTTCTCTCTGGGTTTCTGCTATATCCCTACCTCTTGGAAAGTATTGGGCACAGAGATGCTATAGAAAATCTTCATTGAATAAACTCCAATTATTAACTATATAAATAGTAATAAATCCCTTAACATGAGCTTCAGTTTTCTCATCTATAAAACTTATAGATTCACCTCAGTCTTCTGACGATCAAAATGAATTCATTTGTTTGCATTGCTCACAGAATCTTAAACCAGATCAAGTAGTCAATGTTCACAGGAGTCTTCAGTAACTTAATCCAAAGAATACCACATACTCTATCTGCACAGAAGACCAGCCCCATCCAGGCATAACCTACTTAGCCAGAGCTGGTAAAGGTCATTACCAGAACTTCAACTACAGAAATCACTTTCATTTTAGCTCATTCCTTCACTCATGAATGTTGCTGAGAGGTACAGAGACAGACACAGAAGCAGATGTGACACACCAGAAGTTCAGCCAGGACATGGTGTCCCAGGCAAGAACTGGAATCTCTTATGTCACATATAAGAGAAGGAAGCCAAGTAATATGCACATTTGGTTTTATTTTAGAAGGCTCAATCACAGCAGGAGCCCAGCTAAAAGACACATACTATTCTCCAAACACATACACCCTGGTTTGAATATCAAATTAGCCTTCTCTTTATTCTGGAGGAGCAATGGTAATCTGAATTAGTGTTAAAATACTTACACAGAGCAGAAGGAGATGTGACTATTGGCATCATATGATCATTATCCAATTTGGAGTTACTTTTGTTATAAAGTTAAAAGTTAAGATCTAGACCCTCAGGGCTGGGGCTGTAGCTCAGTGGTAGAGTGCCTGCCTCGCATGTGTGAGGCACTGGGTTTGATCCTCAGCACCACATAAAAATAAATAAATAGATATTTTGTCCATCTACAACTAGAAAAATATTAAAAAAAAAAAGATCCAGACCCTCTCACTTACACATCAGCCCAGTGTGCTGAATAAGAACCTAACAAACAGGACCAGTGATGCTCTCAATACCTACTCCTGGACTCCATCCTGACTTTTTACTGCCCAATTAAAGGCTGCAGATGTGGGACTTTCTGAGAAGAAATAGGACTAGGAAAAGATTCTTTTACACTGACAGGTTACCATCTGCTCCTAACAAATGTTTGGTTTCAGCATTAAGATCATAACTCTTGCTTCTCCCTTGTTTTCTCTTCAACTATTTAGAATGTAATGCTCTATACATACTGAATAATTACTGATATTTTACTACTAGTACATATATAGGAACAACCACTACCCCAAGGCTAGTAGCTGCATATTATATTTGTACAACACAACTGTTATGTATGAAGCACCATATTAGAACCTTTATATTCATTGTTCTTAATCATTAACAACTACAAAAACTTTTAAGTAGTTACTATTGTCCCAAAGTTTACATAAGAGAGAAATTGAACTGACTCAGAAAAACTAGTTTATTTACTAGTTTATAAGGTCAAATAGCTATTAAATGGTTAGGCCAGAATTCAAACAGATCTGTCTGGCCCAAATCTATACATGCTATTATATAACTTTGCTATATTAGAAAAAGATATTTATGTATGACACTAACTTGAAGGTATAAAGTCCATATCAATTATGCAATATGAAACATGAAGAGGAGAGTCTGAAAGCAGCTTCATGAAGCTCAGAAGAAAACAATGACACTTAATTCTGGATTATAAACCTACTGGATTCAGCCCTTCTATGACTGTCAGAAAGGTATATGTGCACTTTCCTGTTGAAGTTGCCTTCCTCTTGGTTGACAAAGAAAAGTATGATGTTTCTAGACCTAAGCAGCCAGGTTCAGTGCCCTAGTGTATCCATAAGGAGAAAAAATGATGCAACTATTTTAACAAAGAAAAATTCAAGGAATTATTAACTAAAACAGGTGATCAGGATAATAAAGGGTTTCTTGTTATTACATATATAGGAATAACCACTAACCCTAAGGCTAAGAAACAGCGCCCAAAGAAAAGTTCTTCTGACTCCTACTCCCCTATGCCCTCACCTCTGCACCAGGGCTAAGATCCAGGCATTGATAAAGAAGGCATAGGCATAGCTAACTGAATGGCAAGAAAATTTGCTAGAAATCTGCCCTATGGAAATTGCCAGAAATTCTTTCTCATTGAGTTCACAGGTAGTGTCCTATCAGAGGCACTCTACTATGAAAGAGGGCAGTGGCCAAGGAAAGTCTTTTAGCTGACAGCTGCTAGACCTCATGCCCTGTAGAAGCCAGGCACTGGGGAAGCCACCCACATTAAAGGAGCTGGACACTGGGGAAGCCACTTGCCCTGGAGGAGCACACAGGGTCAGGAAGCAAAAGGCTTTCCTCTTCTAATGTCTCTTTAGTGCCTTCTAACAAAACTTAAAATGATGGATAAAAAGGAAATCTATTTAAAGAGCTCAGATTCATTTTTACAGATAAGGCAATGAAGATAAATATGGAACTAATAAGAAACATTTCTAATTGTCCTATGTGTTGAACCTTGGAAGGTGCCCGAGCGGTCTGTTTCTCCTGGTCCTAGCTTTTATGCACTGGTGTGCCTTCTCCACTCTTCTCCTCTGTCTCCTTCACAGAAAATAAATTTGATTATCTTATAATTTTGATTTGTACTGATTCCCTTTAGTAATAAATATTCATTATAGAAAAATTAGAAAATTCATCACAATTATAGAAAAAAGTTCAAAACATCCACTAAGTCAAAAACATCCACTAAGTCAAACCAAGAGATAACCAGTTAACATTTTAATGTGCCTTTTTAAAATGTTTTTATTAGTACATTATAGTTATACATAATGGAGTTCATTTATGTTCATAAATGCATATCACAGTTTGCTCCATTTCGGTCCACAGTACTTCTACTTTCCTTCCCATCCTCACTCCCCGAATCCCCTTCCTCTGCTCTATTGGTCTTCCTATTTTTTTTTAAATTTTTTAGCTGTAGATGGACAAAATACCTTGATTTTATTTATTTATTTTTATGCAGTGCTGAAGATCAAATCCAGTGCCTCACACACACCAGGCAAGGGCTGTACAACTGATTTACATGCTCAGCCCTTCCTATTTATTTTTAATTGGCACATTATAGTTATAAATAAACATGAAATGGCCAGGTGTGGTAGCACACACCTGTAATCCTAGCAACTTGGGAGGCTGAGGCAGGAGGATTGTAAGTTCAAAGCCAGCCTCAGTAATTTAGGGAGACCCAGTTGCAAAATAAAAATAAAAGGGCTAGGGGTATTACGTCAGTGTTAAAAGTGCCCCTGGGTTTGATCCCAAGTACCCTCCAAAAAATGAATGCATTGTGTTGTATTCATACATATCATAATATGGTCAACTTCACTCCCCAGTTCTTATACTTTCCCTCCCCTTGTTCTTTCTCCTTCATCCCCTGTCTCTACTCTATTGTTTGTTCATATATCGAGAAAAGTAAAAAGACCTACTGAAATTATATACACCAAACATATGCACACATAACTGTGTACCTAAACACACATCCAAACACATACACACACACCATTTCCTCCTGGGCAGCCCCATGTACACCCAAGCACCCATATAGTGATATTGTAGATACAGACAGAAATACTTTTTCATTTTAAAAAGTTTATGTGCTCACTTTGGCAGCATATATACTAACATAGGAACAATACAAAGATTAGCATGGGCCCTGCACAAGAATAATATGTGAATTAGTGAAGCATTTCATATTTTTAAGGAGTATTACTCAACCAAAAAGAAGAATGAAATTGAGAAATTTGCTATTAAATGAATGGAAATAGAGACTATCATGCTAAGTGAAATAAGCCAGACCCCAAAATCAAAGATTGAATGTTTCATCTTATATACAGAAGCTAGTCCAAAATAAAGAGAGGGAGGCTAGGACATAGCTCAGTTGGTAGAGTGCTTGCCTGGCATGCACAAGGCCCTGGGTTCAATCCCCAGTACCACAAAAAAAGGGGGGGGGGGGCTGTGGCTGTGGCTAAGTGGTAGCACACTTGCCTGGCATGTGTGAGGCACTGCTTCAATCCTCAGCACCGCATATAAAAACAAATACATCAAATAAAGATGTATCAACAATTTTTAAAAGTCTACAAAAAAAAAAGAGAGGGAGAAGATGGGCTGGGGTTGTAGCTCAGTGGAAATGAGCTTGCCTAGCATGTGTGAGGCACTAGGTTTGATTCTCAGCACCACATATGAATAAATAAAATAAAGGTCCATCGACAACTAAAAACTATTTTTTAAAAAAGAGAGGTAGAAGAAAGGGAGAAAGGGTAAAGGGGTAGATTCCATCAAAATAGAAGAAAGATCAGTGAATAGGATAAAGGGGATTGAGGAGGAAAAACAAGGCATGGTATAAGGGAAGAACAATAGAATTGCCGCAGTCTGGCTGGGCACAAATGCCACAGTCTGGCTGGGCACACGATCACGAGCCACCACACAGCTTGTAGATTCAAACAGCAACTCTTTATTCCCGAACTCACACCAGCCGTCTACAATCACGTTCTGGGGAAATCCACGTTCTCTGCCCAAATCCACCTCCACTGGGCTTCTATCTCCAAAATATACTGTCTAAATCCCGTGAGAACTCAAGGGGAACTCAGGCAGCAGGATACGCCCTATTCCCAGCAGGAATAATCTTAAACCTTAAACCTGGAACCTAAACTAGGAACGCCCTAAACACAATTATCTTAAAACCGGGAACACCCTAATCTGCCTTGGTCCTTGAGCAAGGTCACCTACATATAATGTCACTGCAACATGTCAGCAACATGGGGTACGCTGGCAAGGAAATTGTCATACCTACTTGGCTAATGGCTCCCAGCATAGAATGAATCTGACCTAACTTCCTATGTAAACATATGACTATACCACAATGAATCTCATCATAATGTATATACACAACACACTTTAAAAAAAAGCAAATAGCAAAAAATCAGTAGAATAGAGGGCTAAGGTGTGGCTCAGTGGTAGAGCACTCGCCTGGCATGTGTGAGGCACTAAGTTTGATCCTCAGCACCATATAAAAATAAATAAATAAAAATAAAGGTATTGTATCCATCTACAACTATTTAAAAAAAATATCAGTAGAACAGAGGGAAGGGAACAGGGAAATGGAGGGAGGGAGAGAAAGAAGAAGTACTGGGGACTGAATTAGAGCAAACTAAATTCCATGCTTTTATGTCAAAATAAATCCCAATGTTATATATAACTAAAAGGAATTAATAAAAAGAAAAAAAACTGAAAGAAGATTATGAATATTAAGTGTTCTTCTCACTTGGTTTGTTTTGTTTTTGTACTGGGGTTTGAACCCAGGGTCACTTAACCACTGAGCCACATCCCCAGCCCATATATAGATATATAGATATATAGACAGATATAGATATATTTTTTTTTAATACAGGATCTCACTGAGTTGTTTAGAGCCTTGCTAAGTTGCTGAGGTTGACTTTGAACTTGTGATCCTCGCGCCTCAGCCTCCAGAGCCACTGGGATTACAAGTATGCACCACTGTACCTGACTTCTCTAGGTATTTTATAAGACTAAGTGTATTGTATGTCTCCTGTGGAAAGCACCTCGGCTACTTGTGAATCATTAATCCCTAACAATGAGACATACTTTCATAAGAGTTAAAAGCAGTGTTTGGACAAACCATAGAACACAGACTACATCTTGACCTTAGTCTGTTTAGGTAAAGTTTTATTGCAACACAGCCACACCCATTCATTAATGTATTGTTTATAACTGCTTTTCTAGTACAACAGGAGAATTGAGTAGTTGCAACAGAAACCATATAGCCTGTCAAGCCTAAAACATTTCCTATCAGACCATTTAATGAAAAAATTGGCAATCCCTGGCTAAGAACAGAGAATCTGTAGCAGGGCTGCCTGTACTAAAATTCTAGCTATGATATCGACTGTGGGCCTTAAGCAATCACTTCTACTCTGAGGTTGTTTCCGTATTTTAATTAAAATGGAAATGCATGCCTGTAATCCCAGCAGTTCAGGAGACTGAGGCAGGAGGATCGTGAACTCAAAGCCAGCCTCAGGAACTCGGTGAGACCCTATCTCTAAACAAGATGTATATAAAAAGGGCTGGGACAATTCATAATAGCTAAACTGTGGAACCAACCTAGATGCCCTTCAATAGATGAATGGATAAAAAATGTGGCATATATACACAATGGAATATTACTCAGCAATAAAAGAGAATAAAATTATGGCATTTGCAGGCAAATGGATGGAGTTAGAGAATATAATGCTAAGTAAAGTTAGCCAATCCCAAAAAACCAAATGCTGAATGTTTTCTTTGATATAAGGAGGCTAATTCATAGAGGGACAGGGAACAGGAACATGGGAGGAATAGACAAACTCTAGATAGGGCAGAGGAGTGGGAGGGGAAGGGAGGGGGCAGGGGGTTAGCAAGGATGGTGGAATGTGATGATCATTACTATCCAAAGTACATGTATGAAGACAAGAATTGGTGTGAATATACTGTGTATACAACCAGAGATATGAAAAATTGTGCTCTCTATATGTAATAAGAATTATAATGCATTCTGCTGTCATATATAAATAAAAAAATTTACATAAAAAAGGGCTAGGGATGTGGCTCAGTGGTTAAGCATCCCTGGATTTAATCCTCAGTACCATAAAAATAAATGAGTAAATAAAAAATAAAATGGAAATAACAATACATATATCATAGTTATTGTGAGGATTAAATAAAAATGTAATGTGGTTTTGACAATTATAAAATTAAAACCTAATAAATTACTGCTATTGTTATTTTTAATAAATACAACAAATACCACACACACACAAAAAAAGCAATCACACACAGTGCATCTTTGGCCCAGTACCATATGCTGCAGGGATTGACCTAATCAATTGTATTTTTAATTTTCTTCTAGAGAACCAAATGGAGGCTTAGAGAAATAGAAAATCAGCCTATTTATATAAAAATGGAAGTGTGCCATCCCTTTCCCTTAGGAGAAAGCCTAGCATAGGAGGCTAAATCCCTCATCCATTCAGTTGGCAAAGCCAAAGAGAGAACAGCAAAAGAGGTTTGAAAGAAACCTAATTCTGGACATAAATATATAATATGCTTGAATACATACTGGCAGCTGGAATTTCCCTAATCTCATTTCACAGTTCTATTTCTGCATCAGTGAAGAGGTTTTCTGGGCATCAAAATGACACCTTTCCAGCAATATCATTACACCAAAGGTGTGGTAACCCACTATCTTCACCTCCCAACTAATTTAAAAGAAGCAAAAATGGTGGGAAGATGTTACTAAACAATGAAGTAGTTGGATTTGGGTTAAAACCATAAATTACTATGCCACAATTTTCTTAAACCTGTTTCTTAGAAGCTTAAAAATAATTTTCTTTAAATTTACCATGCTTAATTTACTTTGTCTTTTCTGATCCAAGTATTACAGAAGTAAAAATAAAGTTTATTTTGATAAATTGTTTTCAACAAACAAATCCAGGAAACAGAGGTTTTAAATTATTTCCATCCTCTGAAGATTTTTTTTAATCAGCTGAGAAGAAACAGAAAAAGTTTGATTCTCTATACTTCTGTAACACATTCATCCCCCTTTTCACTGTTCTTACCAGGAGACATAGGCAGATGGGAGGGGTGGCTTGGAGAAGGATGGAACCTAATGTGATACTGTAGATGTTAGTCTCTCTACAATTTGATGCCAATAATTTCTATTTTTTATTTGTTTTTATATATAGATGACAGTAGAGTATATTTTGACATATTATACATACATGGAGTTATAACATTCTAGTTAGGATCCCATTCTTTTGGTTGAATATAATGCGAAGATTCACTGTGGTGTATTCATATATAAACATAGGAAAGTGGGCTGGGGATGTGGCTCAAGCGGTAGCGCGATCGGCTGGCATGTGTGCAGCCCGGGTTCGATCCTCAGCACCACATACAAACATAGATGTTGTGTCTGCCGAAAACTAAAAAAATAAAAGATTAAAAAATTCTCTCTATCTTAAAAAAAAAATAGAAAAGTGATGTCAGGTTCATTCTACTGTTGTTTTTGTTTTGCTTTGTTTTTCTGGTACTGGGGATTGAACTCAGGGGCACTCAACCATTGAGCCACACCCCCAGCCCTATTTTGTATTTTATTTAGAGACAGAGTCTCACCGAGTTGCTTATTGCCTCACTGTTGCTGAGGCTCACTTTGACCTCTTGATCCTCCTGCCTTAGCCTCCCGAGCAGCTGAGATTACAGGCTTGTGCCGCAGCACCTGGGCTCTACTGTCTTTCTTATTCCCATTGTCCCTCCCTTCTCTTCATTCCCCTTTGTCTAATCCAATGAACTTCTATTCTTTCCTATCCTGCCCCCTTATTGTGTTAGCATCCACATATCAGACAGAACATTCAGCCTTTGGTTTATTGAGATTGGCTTATTTCACTTAGCATGATAGTCTCCAGATTCATCCATTTACTAGTAAATGCCATAATTTCATTCATCTCTATGGCTGAATAGTATTTCATTGTGTATATACACCACATTTTGTTTATCCATTCATCTGTTGAAGGGCACCTAAGGTTGGTTCCATAGTTTAGCTATTGTGAATTAGATGCTCATAATTTCTTGGTCTTTGGTTTCTAAATTAGAGAAAAAATTGTGAACTATTTATGCTATGACAAAGCAAATAGGACAATTAACTTGTTTCACAATTTC